AATGGGGGTATTTGGACAGAGAACGGGTCGAGGGGAAGGCTTTTCTGAGTGGAGGAGCAGAAGGAACACAAAGATGGATTAGTGGGGTGGCAGCCCTGGGAAACAGTGAGTTATCTGAATCTGCCCAGCATGTAAAGGGGAGACAAAGCCAGGAAGGGAGGTTTCCAGCAGTACACAGCTGACCTGGCCCGTCGGACACAGAATCAGGGGTGAGACAATGGCACTGTGGAACTCTTGGAAGCCAGGTCATCTATGGGGGAGACCTGAACATCGTACTCTCCAGCTTCTGGAATGCACTGAGCTCGTTCCCTCCTCGGTGCTCTTAGACCCACTGTTCCCTGTGCCTGGTCCATGCTCCCCGCCACCACTTCCTTTTCCCCCAACTGTGTCTTATTCTTTCTTTAGATCTGAGTATAACTGTCATTTCCTCAAAGAATTCTCCCTGACCTTTCAATTTAAATTAGATTTCCCTGCTATGGTCTCTTATCTCATCCAATTATTTTCCTCCATAGCACTTATCATGGCTTCTAACGGTACATTTATATCTGTGACTATGTGTTCGCTCTCCAGCGCCTCCATCAGACTGCATAAGCTCCGTGAGGTCAGGGACTTGATCTTGTCACTTAGTGCACCCCCTGGGACTGACAGGCGAAAGGCTCTCAGTAAGTGTTAGCTGAATGATATGTGAATGAATGACAGTGAAGAGAAAAAAAGAATATGTAAGACCCTTCTGTCCCATAACACGTGTAATAGAAATACATCATTAATAAGGGAAGGGTCAAGGTCTCGTGAAAGACACTCTGGCTGGGAGTCAGAGTTGGGGGTCTGGTTTTATACTCACTTCTGTCACTTCCTAGTCATGAGATCACATTGCAATCTGACTGGTTAGTGCGGCTCTCTTTCCTTCTCTGACTTCACAGCCCTGAACTCAAATTGCTCATTTATCAGATAGGGTCATAGAGTATGCCCTGTTTAATAGTTGGGAAAACACACTGAGACTTTATATACTATTGGGCAGGTGAAGGACTACACAAATGTAACAGTATTAATTGGTGCCATCAGCTTAGAGGTATTTGCCTCTACATTTTATATTGAATAAATGGCTTTGGTGTTTTATTCGTGTTTACTGCAAAATATTCTTTTCTATTGCCATTGTTCACACACACACAAAACACACACACACACAGACCAGTGGTAAAGCTATATTCTTTTATTACCAGGGTGAACCCAAGATATGCAGAGTCTGTGTCAAACATACTAGTGAAAACAGATGCCCTTTTCATTTACTCAAAGGCACTAATAGCTTTAATAAAAGCAGAACGTATCACTTAAGAGGAATAGATAATTAGCCTTGACAAGAAGTGAGCTCAGAATTCTTATGAATGAATTAGCTAATTCCCACCATGGACATTGAGCATTTGGTTTTTCATCTGACATCCTAATGAGAAGCCCATAACAGCTGGGGGCAGAGGAGTGACTGAAGTCCGTGGGGTTGTCTGGGAAGGGCTTAGGTCAGGCTAATGTTGTTATATCAATAATGGTCTTAGACAGGACACTGCGGTGCCAGCCAAAAATGTGGATTGGAAAGAAAAGCCACGCTTGTATTTCTTTTACTTTAGACAAAGTGTATGGCTTGTTATGGGATGTTAAATCATATGGAAGGTGTCACAAGGAAAGCATGCTGGGATATCTTGCCATAAGCATATCAAGGATTTTTTTAAATGCAAAAATATTTATTGAGCACCTACTGTGTTCTAGCCTTTAGGCAGGAAAACAATTTATGTGGGGACGCAGGTCGGGTTGGGGAAGGTAAATGGACCTAACAATGAAGCACAAGTTGGGATGAACCAGGCTGTGCTCCCACAGTGAGCAAAATAGCCAGACTAGAAGGGACCATTGGAGAAAGGGAAGAAAAAAACGCAAACAGACAAACATGAAGATATTATTTCCTTGTATGTGTACAGAACTTTGGTGTGTACAACAAACAGAACCCCCAAACCAAGCCAAAACACACGCAGTCCCCTCATCCCATTGGATCATGAAGCAAAAACAAAGCCCAGAAACCTTAGCCAGCTGAGTGCTGTGGGTGCCCCCCTCCCCCGGGACTAAATGAGCTTGCCCAAGGTCACACAGCAGGAGGTGCTGGGCCTTACTTACGACTTCTATCCCAGAGCACTTTCCTCCTGATGGAGCTTAAAAGGTAGGTTGAGACAAGACAGTGGGGCCTTTCCTTACCAGGCTAAGGCTTTTGGTCTTTATTCCGTAAGCAGAAGTGGTCAGGGTCACCTAACTTAGCAAAAGGGGAAGAAAGTAGAGCCTACCACTCACTGCTGACAAATCATCTTGACCTTGACCTTGAATAAGGCTCTAAGGAGAGCTTTTTACAGGATGGTCTTTGAGTACTTGGAAGAGCCCTTGCCAGCACCAGTCCACCAGGAAGTCAGTTGTGCTGGAATAACTCATTTCTTTCTCAGACAGACCTACAAAATGGTAGTTTATGCTTTAGTAAGACTTGCTTCAGATGCTTCTGGGGGAAAAAAATGGACAGTTACGGAATTGGGGGCTGGATTCATTTGCTTTTAATTTTCAAGTTGAAGGAGATTTTGGAACTCACGTAGCCCTGTTCCATCATTCTACCAACGAGTAAAAAGAAACAAGGGGGAAATGACTTGCTAAAAGTCACATCATCATCATCATCATCAAAATGGCTTGTACCCATTGAGAATTAATTATGTATCTGCCACCTTCTAAGTGATTAACACGTGTGGACTGAATCACAAGACTATGGGGTCACTGATGCCCAGGGACACTCAGTGCCTTGCTAATATGGTGAGGCTCGTAGCAATGGAACTGGGATTTGTACCCAGCAAGGCTGGCTTCTGACTGGTTTCCTCTGCAGACACAGCCTCTTCCGGCCACACAACGAGTGTTTTATGAGCCAAGTGTCCATGGTCCTATAATTGGATGGTACGTTGGTATGCCCTAAGACATCTTTGCTATGTTCTTTTCAGTATTTTTGTCCCTAAGTTAGAGAAAATATGGGAGCAGGGTGTCAGGTCTTCAAAAGTCTCGAAATGAGGGGGGGAGGAATAACATGCACTGGATGGAAGAGACAGGAACCCCAGAAGACTCGGGGTGATGAGTGAACCCAAATGCAGGGAGGCAAACAGTCCCCGCGTATTCTGCACGGTCCACATCTAATGCCAGTTCTCAACGGAGCCTCTGAGGCCACCCCCCAACCAAGGAAGCCCCGGGCACACCAGGCCTTCGCAATGATAGCCTGTATCTTTCTTCCTCCTTCCTGACCGACTGGTTCTGATCCCCATCTGGGCCCCGTCCTCCCGCATCATCTGGGCTCTGTTCCCGTCTCTGGGTCTTTATTCTTAGTTTTTTGCTGGGTTCTCTTAGCACTTGAATCTTGATATTTTTTTTCCTGTGGGCCTTGAGTTGCCTTGCCTCTCTCCATGTGCCACACCACATCAAGGACAAAACTCTCATCCTGTCCCAGCCTCTCAGAACTCAGCCCATGACTGTGGTGGGTCTGCTGACGGCACCTGCGTTGCCCTACAGACCCAGACACCAGGTGGAGGAGATCGGGGTTATACCTGAAATACTGTATTCAGGTCTGGCCAACTCCCTTCCCCTCCCTGAGGGTCTCCAGAAACTGAAGCATATTCCTAGAAAAAGAATAGATTGTCAATGGACTCGAATACTTGGTGGTACATGGGCAAGTTGAATGAGGCCAGGGCGCCTCGAGAAGTAGATTGCGGGCACTGGAGATTTTTCTATGAATTCGCAGAACCCTGCGGGCTCCTCTTACGTGACCCTAGAGCCTGTTGGCAGAAGCTACAGAAAGGAGGTAGACGTCAGTTCAATTAAAAACTTTCTTACGGCAAGAGCTCTCCGGAAACGGAACGGGATAGTAGTGAGCCTCCCATGGCTGGAGGTGTCCAAGGATAGGCCCACAGTGTGTTGTCAGGAAAACTGTATAACAGATCCGCACATCAAAGGGATACCTGGACTCTGATTTGTAGCTGGGTTCCAGCCAAGAGAGTCTCTGGCTCAGTGAGGACTCAGTGGTGCCTTCTGAGGGAAGGCAGGATGGGATGACAAGGGCGGGATGACCGCGGTGTGTTGGGCGAATGCATCCCTCCAGTGAATGGCCACCGCCACCTGGAGCCCACGCGTCCTCCCTGCTCGCGCGTCTTCCCTGTGAATGCCCCGGGGCTGCACCTGTCCGGCTGCTTCTGTTAGAGCGCAAACGCCTCCGGCCCCAGAGCAGGAGAGGCCCACCGCACACCGAGGGAGGCTGCAGCTTAGTGTTCCACAGCTGGGCCCGAGTCTCACCCTTCTGCGATCTTGTGCCCAGGAAGGGGCTCTATTCTCTCTAGGCCCTCACATCTGCCCCCCTGCAGGAAAACAAAAAGCCCAGTGCAGAGGACGGACAGGAGCCCGAGTGCGAAAACGCATTTGCCCAACACCCCATCGATGTCCGTGGGTGCCAATCAAGGAGGAGCGCCCCCCCCCCCCCCCCCCCAGCGCCCCCCCCGCCCCCGGCCCCTGCCCCCGCCGCCCCTCCCAGGCTCCCGACCTCCGGGGGGCGGTCACGCAGCGCCTTGGGCTTCCGGGACGCGGGGCCCGCCGCCGGCAGCGCCCCCGGGGAGGCGCGGAGTCGGCGGAGCGCACGCGGCGGCCCAGCCCCGAGTGAATCAAAGCAACAGGAGCCCGTGCGCGGCGGGGCGCGGCGGCGGCGCCGTGCGTGGTAACTGACAGGCACCAGCTGCCGCGCCGCCCGGACGCGCTATGTGGCCGCTCCGAGCGAGGGGCAGATTCCAGACTAATCCCGGAGGGCCGGCCCAGCCCGAGCTGCCCGGGCTGCGAGGAAGCGATGAGCGCTCCTGTTAGCCCGAGTTGAAGGCAGCCCCGGCGGCGCTCGGGAGCCCGGGAGGCCGCGCTCTTCCGCAGACGCTCGGGAGAGGAACATGAACTGAAGAGTAAACATGTACGGGAATTATTCTCACTTCATGAAGTTTCCCACAGGCTTCGGCGGTGAGTCAGGCGCCGGGGCTGCCCCGGGGTCCGGCGTGCGGGGTGGGGGACCTGTGTGGAGGGGCCGGAGGGGAACCGCGACCTGCGGGCACGCGGCTGCCAGTGAATTAGGAGGAGGGCAGGGATGTTCGTCTGCACTGGTCGTGTGTTTCCGCGGAGTGTGTCTGTGCGTGCAGGAGAGGGAGGGAGAGGGGATGGTCGGAGGCGAGGATCCGTGCACAGCAGCATGAGCGAGCAGAAGAGAGAACGTGCAGATACCCCACGGAGCGTTCCAGCCCACCTGCCCGGGAATGGATCGGAGACCCAGACGGAGCGAGAGCGTTGTTAGAACCCAGTGTGTTTGTGCGGGTGGGCAATGTGGAAGAGTCAGAGGGTATCACTGGACGTACCTATTATCCAACTTGTAATGAGAAACGTGCTGAAAAAGGCTTTGCCTCTCTATTAAGAGCCCCTGCCATACTTGGTAACAAGGGCATGCTTGTTTTATTGAAACGCAGATCTCCCTACAATCGGATTTTTTTTAAAAAGAAAACGGAGCACTTGAATTTGCCACCCTGTTTTTCTTCCTCTGTTGTCTTCCCTTTTGATTTGCTAATAGCCTCGCGCCCCCTCCCTGCTGCTTTCCACTGCCAGGGTCCCTGCTGGCAGTTCTGTTCTGAGGGTGGAAGGTCGGTTCTGGGTGCGGGAGTCTGCGCTCCCGGGACTGGCAGGCTGAAGGTCCAAGTCCCCAAGCCCGCGAGGGCAGCCCCTGCTCACTTTTCAGGGGCCGCCTTCCGTGGGACTCGAGGCTCCCTCGATTCAGTGGCAGAAGCAGTTCAGCCGTCCAGCTTTGAATAAATGGAACCAACAGCTGACCGACTGGCCTGTCACTTGTCAGCTGGTGGCACGAAGCTTGTGCTCTTGGGAGCCAAAGAGGAGCTTTTGCCCTGCGGATGCTGGCAGACAGGACAAAGCAGAAATTCTTGTTAGGTCTTGAGAACTGAAAAGTCCCTGCTCTCCCGACCTCCTGTGTGGACAGATAGGCAGTTCATCCGAGGGCTGGGGTAGGGGGGTACAGCTTGCCTCCTTGGCCATGCAGAGCCCTCTGTGAGGCATGGAAGGACGTTGCAAGGTGGCCATGGTCCCTGCCGGGGTGGTGGGTGGTGTTGGTCTAGGGGACTTGCTCTTTCATTCAGGGTGCCTTGGGGAGTTTGTGAGCCAAGCGTGGTATTAGGTTCTGGGAAGACAGATGTGAATGAGACACGGGCTCTGCCACTTGTGCAGAGCAGGCTTATCACACAGGCACACTGTCATATTTCTGGCTCTGTGTGCTTTGGGGTGCAGGAGGAGGCTGTTGCTGGGACTCAAGAGGTGGGGGGCCACAGATGTGTTCCTGGAAGAGGGGAAGTTGAAGTCGTTGGGGCTAGTCTCATGCTATGACCCAGTGAGAGTGGTGGCCAAGGATGTGACCGGGACATCTGATCTCGTTTATAGTTGGGTCCTGGGTGTGAAAAGCCTTCTCAGCTCCTGTCTCGGTCCCATTCACAGTTGAGATACTTTTTTCTTTTCCCTCTGAATTCAGTTGTCTGAGGTCAGAGGGATGTGCTTGTCCTCGAGGTTCTTAGGTTCCCCAAGGTCTGGGAGGCTGTGGCTTCATGAATGTCATGGAGACCCTCTGAAGCAGTGGGAGTGAAACAGGGTTAAGGGTGGAAAGATCTAGGGAGAGCTAAGAGCAAGGCTGGATAAAGAAGGTCTAGCGCCAAATTCAACCGGGGCTGCCTGCTGGAATCTCGAAATGTTAGTCTGCTCAGGGACCTCGAAGAGTGTCTTAGACCTCCCATTTTTGGAGTGGAAATGGAGGCCTCGACAAGGCAGGGGCCAGTCTAAGGCTACATGGGCTTGAATGTGAGAGAACCTTCCAGAAAACCTCTGACTCAAACTTAGAATAGTACTCCTTTAATCGGATCTAGTGCAAGGAGCATGAAAGGGAGAGAGAAAGAGCAAGAGAACTGGAGTTGGGTTCACATACCAGCTGTGTGGCCTTAGGCAAGGAATTGCCTGTCTCTGAGCCTCAGTGCCTTGGTCTCTGAAATGGAGCTGATAATCCCATCCTCAGGTATTGTTTTGAGACTGAAATGTGCGAACATTCAGAGAAGCAGCCACTTTGGTACTGTCTGTGTTTTTGGTCCGTAGTAAAAGTTAATATTTTCATCTCTTCCATTTTGCTCAAGCACTGATCATGCAGATTAACCGAAAAATCAAACGTTACTGGAGAATAATGAATTAGGAATCTTGGGAAATAAAATGAGGTCCACGAAGGTGCGTACACTTTTGCTGGTTTGGAGTCTCACGATTGTGGGGGCTCTGGTGGTTGGTGTAATGAGTTTTCAGAGACAAGGAGACACAGCAGTGCAGCCACAGAAGAAAATACATTGATGTAACACGGGGAGCCAGAGGGAAAAGGGCCACTAGGTTGTTTAAATGTCTCCCTCTGATGCGACTTTTCCTTGTTCCCAAGGGAGGAGAACAATTATTTTGTTTAGTTCTGTTGATGTTTTCCGTTTTGTTTGCGTGCACCGGCTCAGAGTGCTAAAACACTGAGCCAGAGCACATCCCCTGCCCCCCTGCCCCCCAGCTGCAGGGAGGTCTGTCTGAGAACTTGGCACACCCCCGAGGCACAGGGAAAACCTGAGGACTGGGGTGGCTGCCACCTGCAGCGCTGGCACAGAGAGAGGAAACACGTATATGCAGTAATTTCGTGCCTGCCCCCCTTGCCTTTTTATACAGCAGCAAATGGAGCCTCAGGGGGCTCCTGGGATCCCCTGTGAGGAGCTCTAGGGACACAAAGTCACCCGTGGGAGATCGCCCCGGGGATCGTGTCTGGGGCTGTGCTTCCCAGATGTGAGCTCATCGTCCCATCGGTGAAGAGGGGCTGGTTCCTTGGGCCGAGCTGCGGTGACTACCTGGGTTGCGGTGGTCGCGGTGGTCGCGGTGGTCTCTCCGAGGTGCCCCGGTGCCCAGTGCCCCGCCCTGCCTTGTGACAAGCAGAGAACCCTTCCCTCCTTCTCCGCCTGGCTTTGCCAGCTGCTCAGTAAGAGATTTGTTTGCCTGGAGGAGACAGTTGCTGCCTCTAAGAAGATGGCAAAACAAAGCCTGTAATTCCCCCATCCAATTGTGCCGTAATCCTCCCGGGGAGAGCAGGATCGGGAGCAGGGGGCTCGCGTTTCAGGGAACAAGAGTCGCTGCAGCCGCCTTTGCGCGGGGCCTGCTTCCCTCGCGAGCCCTTGACCCTGAAGTCTCCTGACAACCCTCCAAGGAGTCACCACGAGGATCCCGCTGCTTTTAGAGGCGAGGAAGCGGAGGCACCGCACGGTGTGGTAACGTGTTGAAGGTCTCGGGGCCGGAAAGTGGCGCTGGTCGGGATTTGAACCCAGGCCATTGGGCTCCGGTATCCCTGGTCAGCTGAGCTGCCGGTCAGGGCGTCTGTGGACCACACACTTGCTCCGGGACAGGCCGGGAAGCCACGGGAAGCAGCGCAGGCCTTGCTGGGCTGAGGAGCCCTGATCCCGCTGCGGCCCTGCCCTGTGGCCACAGGCCTGTGGCCTGGCCACTGAGGAATAAAACACAGGGGAGTTCGCAGTCACTCAGCAGCAAGGGACTCTGCGGCCCTGCCTGGGGCTGCCCCTGGAGGCCCACTGATTTGCAAGAGTCCTGCCCAGCTGGCCCTGACATTTGTGTGGAACACTCTGCTTTTCCCCTAAGAGTCTCCTTAGAGGAGGGGTGGGTCGGAGTTACGTGTCCCCACGTGTTTGTGTGTATGTCTGGGGGAGCTGTGAGGATGTGCGTGGGTGTGGGAGCCGTGTGTGTGTGTGTGTGTGTGTGTGTGTGTACGTGTACACGGATGCATGCGTCAGAACATACTTCTCCCCTCCACAAATGTGTGGGTGGCTAATTGGGTCCTACCGTGGACGTAAGTGGTTAGGGTTTATGTCGGAAGGCGTAACTGTTTATGGGATTTAGGAAGGAACATATTTAGTGTAAACTATTTTCTGAAACATTTACAATCTTACCAGGAGACAGAGAGCTGAATAGGAACTGGGGGAAGAAATTGTGCAAAGACTAATCTAAATTCTCCACCTCTTCCTTCCCCTCATTATGTCGCTTCTGTATCTGCAGAGAACTTCGCCACCAGAGCTGGGTGGCTGGGATGCCAGGGGCTCCCAGGGGAAGCTGTGATTTTCTCTTATTGGAAAGTGGAAGACTCAGAGGCCCAGGGAATGTAAAAATTTATTTTCTAGAATGCCTGGGTGTGGGGGGCTCTCATGGGATTGGTCCAGGTCCTGGCTCAGCGGTCGTCACAAGAGTGAAATGGTAGCTAATGTATATTATGCACCTACTGTGTGCCAAGCCCTCCTCCACATTGCAAATCTCTCCTCGGCATTGGAAACACCGTCTCATTTAATATTCTCTAGGGCTCCTGGAGGGAAGGCACTACTGTTATCATGGGGAGTGATGAGAGTATCACTGTTGGACTAGATGACCAGAGTCACGGGGAGGTTTAGCAAACTGCTCAAGATTGCCCATCTGGTAAGGGGCAGACCCAGGATCCAAATCCAGGCAGGTGTGAGCTGCCTGCGGTGCTGGAGCCGTATGCCGCACCTGCTGTTTGTTGGGGGGTTAGGGTGGAGAAGGGGTGGGGTGCGGGGGCATGGAGTCCCAGATCTGCCACAAATGGGTGAATTATGTGTAATAACAGCAACTAACAATCTCGGTGCTCTGATCATAATGCGTTTTTTGGACATGTGTAATTACAGCAAATGACTGAAATGACTGGGTGTGGGGGCAGGGCACTGGGCACTGGGAGGTGCTAAGAAAACAAAAATCCAAAAAGTGTCCAGATGGACCCCGCTTTGTTCTAATACACGGAGCGCGACCTTGTATTCTAAGGTGGGGCTCAGCAAACTTTATGAAGAGCGGGAGAGTAAACCTTTGAGTCTTTGCTGGCTCTAGGGTCTCCTGTT